TGTTTAACAACTAAATGTATCGGCTTTGTCTGATAGATTTTGCAAACTCTTAAACAAGCAAACCCCCAAAGCTTAAGTTTTTGAAACTAACTCTACAAAGTTGTTGTTTTTTTACTCCACTCAGCAAGAACTTGTCTGATGGCAGAAATCAGATTGTCTTGCTTGCTTCTTTGTGGATGATGAGCTTGGCAACAATCAGGGAATGAGCATGGTCATCTTAAGAAAATTACTGATGTTTCTAGCAGAGGATGTCTATGAGCATGTAATTAACTGGTCCAAAGGGAAGGAACATGGGGAAAGTACAGAGCTTAGCAATAAAAATACACCAATACTCTCTGTGTAGTATAACCACAAATAAACAGTAACTCAGACTATAAAAGGCTTTTTAAAGTTCTCTGTCAGTGTCCTGAGATAACTCTAGAGTCTTCTGCTCCTCGTTGTGTAAGACCTTTGCCCTGTCTGTCTCACAGAGAGAGAGGAAATCTGTGTGATAGACCTGTCACTCACAGATGAAATCACAGATTATTTTTGTTGTTCTTTTGGGGAAATGACGCTTCACTCTGAATAATTTGTTACTGCCTTGATCTCAAGTCTAGGGAACCTTTGAGTAGCTTAATATTCTTATATTGCTAAAGCTATTGTTTAACTTGCTGTTTATGTAAAGACCCGAAAGACCTATGAAAGGCTGGCAGTATGTACTGGTTATTACATGAGCTAGGCTTTGTGACTCCAAAAAATTTGTGTGTGTGGTTTTTTTGGGGGGGTTGTTGTTTTATTTTTGGGGTTTTTTGTGGTGGGTTTTTGTTTAGTTGGTTGGTTTTTTACTCTGGTGGCTTATGGATCCTAGACATTTAGTTTAATCCTTTCGCTCTTTCTGTGTGTTAATTCTGCATTGCACAGCTGTTGTTTCAGATGGCATCTTATGAATGCATGCCCAGTGGGTCATCCCCCCTTTTTGGGAGCTGATCAGATAGCTCTCACAAAAATGTTGTGGGTTGCCTCTTCTGTTTCTGTTGATGAATTCATGCTTCTAAGTGCCTGTACACTAATGTACACAGCATGGGGAATAAATAAGAGGAGTTAGAGTTCTGTGTGCAGTTGATCTTGTTGGACTCATGGAGATGTAGTGGGATAGCTCACATGACTGGCATGCTGACACATGCTCTTCAGGAGGGAGAAGGTGGGAAGAAAAGGAGGTGCAGCTTCCCTTTATGTGAGAGAGCAGATGGAGTGCTTGGAGTTCTGCCTGGGGATGGATGATGAGCCAACTGAAAGCTTATGGATGAGGATTAAAGAGTGGACCAATGCGGGTGACATTGTAGAGGGTATTTGGTGTAGGCCACCTGATCAAGAAAAAGAAGTAGATGGGGCCTTCTGTGGATAGCTGGAAGTAGCCTTATATTCACAAGCCCTGATGTTCATGAGGGACTTTAAGCATACCAATATCTGCTAGAAGATCAGCACAGCAGGGTATAAAAAATCCAGGAGGTTCCTGTAGAACATTGATGATAACTTTCTGACACAGGTAATAGAGGAGCCAGGAAGGAGAGCTGCTCTGCTGGACCTCATACTCAAAAGCAAGGAAGGGCTGTGGTATGAAGGTCAAAGGCAGCCTTGGCTGCAGTGACCATGAGATAGTGAAGTTCAGGATCCCGAGAGCAGGGAGCAGGGCCAAAAGTCAAGACCACAGTGCTGGACTTCAGGAGAAAAGATTATGGCCTCCTAAAAATTCTGCTTGATAGGAGTCCTGTGGGGTGAGGCCCTGGAAAAGAGAAGAGGATCCCAAGAAAGCTCATTAATATCCAAGCATCACCTTCTCCAGAACAGTCAGTTTCAACAAGCAGGAAGTCAAACAAAGATGCCAGGAGGCCTCACCTTAGTCATGAAGATATGGAACAATGAATCCTGGAAATAATTTCCAGGCACATGTAGGACAAGAAGGTGACTGGGAGTAGTCAGCATGGATTTAGCAAAGGAAGGTCATGCTTGACCAGCCTGATAACTTTCTATGATGAAATGCCTGGCTTAGTAGGTGAGAGGAGAGCAATAGATATTGACTACCTTGACATTAGTAAGGCTTTTCACACTGCCTCCCATGAGATCTTCTTAGGGAAACTGATGAAGTATGGGCTGGATGAGCATACAGTGGGGTAGATGGAAGACTAGCTGAACAGCCAGCCTAGGGGGCTCTTATCAGCGTATATAAATATCTGAAGGGAGGGTGCAAAGAGGATGGAACCAAATTCTCTTCAGTGGTGAACAGTGACAGGACCAGAGGCAATGGGCACAAACTGAAACATAGGAGGTTCTATCTGAACATCAGGAAACACTTTTTTGCAGTGATGGTGACCGAGGTAGAATAGGTTGCCCAGAGGGGTTGTGGAGTTTCCTTCCTTGGAGATATTCTGAACACTGTTCTGGGCAGTCTGCTCTAGGTGGCCCTGCTTGAGCAGAGGAGACAAAATGACCTCCAGAGATCGCTTCCAACCTCAGCCATTCTGTAATGGTGTGATCTGCACTTTCCTGACTTTCCAGAACTTACTCTTTAAAGTTACAAGTGCTTTCATATAGTAACATATAGGAAGGGTTATCATTCAGATTCTTAGTACTAACTCGACTCTTCACTGAGGGTCGTAATTCAGCTTCTCCTAACATGTTCTTCCACTGTAATGGTGGAGCTTCTTTGGAAGAGTAAGATGAATAAAAACCTGAGGAAAAATCAGGAGTAAAGTGGCAACTGTACAAATTACCCAACTTACATCTGAATTTCCCAGCTTCTTGTTTATCTCAACTTGTTTCTCGAGCAAGGGCAGGTCAAATGAGTAGTCCCTGCAACATACACTGAGACTAAGATTTCTAGGTGGGAATATAAATGTACTGAAACTAATAGAGGACAGGAGAGGAAATGGGACAAGATATATATTAGATGTGACGTCAGAATCCATTGTTAACGTAACCTCATTATTTGAAAAGCTTATTTTTATTTATTTGGTTTTAGCAAATACTGGAAAATGGTCCAGAATAAATATCTTGAGAAAACAAGTTCCTCTATTTGCAGTACTTTGTAACAAACACAGGTGGAAAGGTGGTTTCTTACCTTAGATCATTCAGAATGGAGCTTGCAGAAGCTTTAAATACGACTGTGGCATATGCTCCCAGAGGCACAAAACTAATGTAACCTCACCTTGGAATTGGCTCAACTGCTAGTTTGCTGTGTGGCTTCTACTGGTGGGAATTAATTCAGGAATATCCCGCAGTATCCTGTCTTCTGTGGCAGTCAGATGAGGTAGATACTCTGGTCCCTTCTGGCATTATGATTTACAAAGCTATTTGGTTACTGTGAAATTTGCATATTCCATAAAATGACTGAGAATTAATGCTCAATTAAAGATCCTGTAGTGTGCAATTGTCTGAAAATAAAGGAGAAATTTTTTTATTTCGCATGTGAATATCATATGTGGATATAATATATGCAAATATATGTGTATATATGAACACTTACACTCATACCCTCCCCTCTACCTTTGTACTGGCTCTCTGTATGCATCTGACAACATGAACCAAAAGTACAGAGTGAATATATTGTCATAATTCCTCAGGTCAGTGATTATTAAATGAAGAGTATAACTCTCCAGAAATACTAAATACAAACAAGGAAGTAGGGTAATGTGGAAGTCTTAATAACGAAAACTTTTAGTAACACTTCTGCCATGCAGGTCTGATTTACCCATATTTTATCCATATTAGCCAACTCATTAATCCCTTGCAATTTGTAGAACAATTTTTTCCAAGAAAAAATATATTTTGTAGAGTAGAATCTAACATTTGCCTTTAGTGTTACTATTTTTTAAGGCAAATTACATTATTTTTGAAAAATACCAGTATTTCCATGAAAGTCCATGAAAATGGCAAAAGTGCTGAATCAAAATCTTTTGGGGCTAGTAGTAATTGTTACTTCGTTAGCTGTAACTAATCACTATTTTTTTAAGTCTCTAAATAACTGCAGCTATAGGGCTGATTTAAAGGCCTTATTTCTTATTGCTAATTTTTATCATTCAAATTGCAGCCTGATTTAAATTTAAAGGAAAATGAAACAATTACATTTATTTTTGTGTCTATAATAGACATTTTAGGTTTGGATAATCATACTTCCTATGCTATAAAAGAGCTTTGAAATTACTCCAACTGATTTCAGAGGGGTCTTTTTTGTCAGTTCAATTAATAGTATAGACAAACTGTCACTTTTATGGGGTTGAAAATTTGTAAGATCTTAAAAATGAGAATTTTTAATGATAAGATGGATAAACAAAGTGTTAACAAAGACAACTCTTGGTATTCAACACAGGATCAGCACCCCTGGCACTGCACCTCTCTACAGTACTGCTGAAGTCAGTCCTGAAGAGATACACCAGTTAACGAGGGATTGTGTTCCTCTGGTAGTCAAGGATTTATGCAGTGGAGAAATTCATACTTTCTTCCTGGGGGCATTGGATCTAAATTGCTCTGACATCTTTCTAGTGCAATAGAAAGTGCTTTCCTGATTATGAAGATAGAGATTAAGAAACACTTTTATTCATGAGTGGTTTAAGAATTTTTTTGCCCAGATGTTTTTTGTGAAGACATTTGATTTGGCACTTCGGGCAAATCCTGCTCCTAACAGAAAGAAGATGCAAAGCTCCTCCTGGATGGGAGCAGCCCTAGGTTTTGATTCAGTGAAGGAACTGATTATTTAAAGAGATGCAGCATTCCAAGGATGTTTCTGAAGACCACAACAAAGACTGTGTCCAGTGGTCTAAGTATCTTTTTCATTTGCTTTCAATAATTGTGTCTCCAATTTGAGTTTACTTTCCTGCCAGTTCTGATCAAAGCATTTTCATGATAAACTGATTTCATTTTGGTCTGTCTGCCAGTCCAAATAACAAAAAGTATTTCTGATAGCTGTATGATTTTTTTCTTTAATATTATTTTTTTAATTCTATTTTTGTCTCTCCAACAGGCCATCTGTGGAAAAGAAAACAAAATAGAAAACATGAAGTACGTATTCTTAATATTTTTCATGAATTTATTACCGCAGAATGCTGGGAAATCTTTGAGAAGAGATGATAGTTACACAAAAACGTTTCAAGACATTAAAAATGAGATAGCTGGCTACACTGATATTGCTAAAGCTATTATTGATCTTGCTGTTTATGGAAAAGCTCAGAACAGATCCTATGAAAGATTAGCAGTTTTTACTGATACCATAGGACCTAGACTCAGTGGTTCAGAAAATCTAGATCTAGCCATCAAGTATATGTTCAGTGCCCTGCAGGAAGATGGGCTGGAAAATGTACATCTGGAGCCAGTGAAAGTACCACACTGGGAAAGAGGAGAAGAGTTTGCAATGATGCTGGAACCAAGGAATCACAGCATTGCTATTCTGGGACTTGGGAGCAGTGTTGCAACTCCTCCAGAAGGTAACTTCCTTTTGGAATTACTTGTCACTTGCATTTTAACGCCAAACTGTATTATACCCCTAACTTTTCTCAGTGGACAAACTGAAGTTTTCTTTGTGTATAGTAGTTCTGCAAGACATGATGCTCTTTTTCTGTGTCTTTTCTATATGACATGGTTGTGAATGGTGCAGATTGGTTCAATTCAGTTTGGTTGAACTGGTTTGTAAAATTAGAGTTGATTCTTGAACTCTCCATTCAGTCTATACCCTTTTGTTTAACACTGCTGAACTTCATTTGCAAAGAGTCTGCTCCTCCACTGAGGTTGGCGGGCAACTTATTCTTGTGATCTGGGCTTTTCCAGATCTTCTTTTTTTTTGTCCAGAGTTCTCCATGGGGTGTTGAGTAGACACATGGTTTCTGCTCTTGCTGTGCCCTGTCCTGCCAAGCTCAGCACTTCACTCTGGCAAAAAGCCAAGACAGCAGGAAGAGGAGGAGAATCTTGTGCTGAGCTTGGAGAGTGTCAGCCCCTTGCTAAGCATGGCAATTGGTACCTGTTTGTCCTTTCCTTCCCCCCCACCTCCTGCCTCTTCTCTCCACTCGCAGTCTCATGCTCACCTTGGAAAAGTCTTTGGCACCTAGCTGTTACTGAACTGTGTGTTGCCTTTTAGTGGTTCAGGTGTGATATGTTACTTCAGGAACAAGAATAATCATTAGCAAAATTCAGGTGTTTTGAGTCCCAAAATGTTAACTTGCTTGCAGACAAACTGATATATAAGATTCTGATTTTGTACATATTGAAGTGCGTCTTTCTCAGGATTGCTATTTAAAGGCCGGATGACAACCTTCTTCTGTGACTACTCTCCATAAATAACAATAGACTTATTCCTAGACTGCTTCAAAAGCATTCTTATTCCTTTATGAGAAAATAAATTTAGTTTAAGAAATAAAAGGTAACATGATACTCATACATTTTTTAAGAATTGTAAATTTTTGTGATAGTGAGCTTTCTGTTTGAAATGAAACAAATAATGTATAGAAGCTGTTTAGTTCAGAAAAAATGTATAGCCCTTCAAAATACAAAAAAGTAAAACTGAGTAATTTAAGATATGTTTGGGAGAAATCTTACTTGGTTTGGGAAACTGTTACTGTAAGTTTTGTCTAAGGTATTTCTGTCACATTGAGGTAAACACATGCCTAAAATGCAAAACTAAAACCATTAATAATATCTGTTTATCCCATTATATGTCTAAGGCTTAGTGATTTGATAGGAGAAAATTTACAGCAAAGGTTAAACTTACAACTTATTTTATATCCTTTCCAGTCCTATTCCAAGCTTCCTAAAAAGGAAGCTAAAATTAAAATGGTGTTTTGGTGTTGAGCAAGTGTTACTGAACCTGCAAAGAGAACCTGCAATTTAATCTTGGCAAACATCTTCACATCCTGAGAAGTCTGTTTTTCACTTCCCTTTCTTAGCTGTGTAGTTATTTTCTACTTGACTGGTCTTACTCTTAGGTTTGCCTTTTTTCATTTAGAGAGATACTGAATTTACATGTTTAAAAATCCTCACAGAGGCTAATCACGTCCTTCTTTTTCATCTGTAAAGATCTTAATATACTGACGACTGAATGATTGGGCTGGTGATGTCTTGGAAGATGAAATTGTATTACCCAGCAGTGGTTGGTTTATACTGAGTAATGTTAAAAACCCCCACATTATTCTTCCTCACCTTTTTCATTTTCTCTGAGATCTGCCATGTTTCTGAAGAGGTGTGTGTGTGTTGGTGCTAGAAGACTGCATGGCAGTGGGTCTCTCACAGAAGAGCAGGTAGTTTCTCACACTTGGTGGAATAATTTACCTTCTGACTTAAAATCTGTCCTACTGTTCACGACTGTTATGTTTTCTACTGGTCTCATCTCGCTCTGCGCAAGCTGTGACAGGTTTTCATGCTGGAGGAGGTTATGCAGGGTAGCTGGTCCCTGGTGAGCTCTTGGCTCCTGTTCTTCTGATAGCTAGACCGACTGCCTGGCTGACGGAAATGCCTGGTGAGAGCCGCTCGTCACCAGCCTCTCTGGGCAAGAGAATTGCAAGGTGTGCTGCTCAGAAAAGCGCCTGTCCTAAAACTCATGCTCATCTGAAGCATGGAATAAAAAATGTGTGGTTAGACTATTCACTTCTGAGGAATTCATTCCCAGATCTGCTCCCTCTGCTCTAAGCAGCGATTGTCACCATGCCCTTATTCCTGAGAAAAAGGGATAGGCGTCTCCCCTAAATCACATCGGAAATATTTGAACAATTTCCTTCAGTGAGGGAATATCGGCAGTTCCGATTTGTCTTGTTTTAGCCAAGAAGCTGTGGGAATGTGAGTCATCCTGTAATCAAAATAATGCAACTCAATATGAGATGCTTGATGCTGATTATCTTGGCATTATGCTGCTGTTGCTTCACAGGATCAAACCAGGGACATCTACCACTGCTGTGCTGAGCTTTGCCAGAGGGATTCATTAAAGGCTGAGGACTGGCTTTGAGATGCTGGCTCCATGGTCTGGCCGTTGACCCCTGGGTTTTGCCCAAGGGCAGGGACACCCTTCAGGGCTAAAGTAGACTGTGGAAGTGATCCCTGAAAGCGTTTAGTATTAGCTTGATAGTTACTGCATGCTTTAAATCAGTGTTCCTATCAGGATACTTTTCAGACCCCTCAAACCACTATCCCTGTAGAGCCCCGACGGATCCCTTCCTACTGATGCCTACTTAGAGCCAGAGGACAGTGCTGACTGGACTTTTTGTCTTTTAAGGTCTGGGAATGGAGTTCAGATGAGAGGGGGTGACTCCCTCATCCTGACAAGAGGTACAGGAGACCATTTCTTGCTTTCTCATCCTCTCAGTTATGTCCTGTGTTCCTTCCTCTCCATTATATGCCCCCAGGCTTGAGACCTCATGAGCTAAGAAAATAGGAAGCATTGTCAGAAACCTAAAACGTTGCTTGTTTCTTGATGTGTTTAGTGCTCCATGCTGGACTCGGTGGCCCCCAGTGCCCTCAGAGCTCCTCCTGGAGCTCAGCTCCCTGAGCTAGTGCTCTGAAGGGCCCTTTATTAACATGGCAATAGCCTAACAGTGGTTAGAAACCTGGCTTTGGATGTTGGAAATTCAGGTTTTATTTTCCCTTCTGTCCATGGAAATTTAAACCGGTGTTTCCTAAAAGGGACCCAATGGCCAGAGCACACGCTGAGGCTGCTCACTTTCCATTTTGGCATTTACCATGTGAGTGTGTGGAAAAAAAATCCACAATTCTTTGGGGCAGTAACAGGAAACCTTAAATAGTAGCAGTTTTTTAGCCACGGAGCCCGAACCAGCATTGACTCCAGGATACAAGGAGTGTCTCTTCCTGCAGATCTTCTATGGGGTTGAAAACCTTATGGGATGTGGAGAAAACTTTGCCTGTTTATTAAATTTGCTGGGATTTGCCCATTTCGGCTCAGATATGATTTTGGCATAGAGCTGATTGGCTCACTCAAGGTTGGAACAGTTCTGATGATGTGCAGGAGGCTTTTCAGTGTCTTGTGATCTTGTGGAAAAAATCCACCTTTCCCTATTTTCTTCTTCAGGACGAGGCAACATGCCAGGATGTCATGTTTCTGGATTCAGTCTGATTTACACAGCAAAAAGGGGCAGCACAGAAAAGGTTAGATTTTTTTATTGAAGAAAAAATAAAAAAGTTTTCCCTTTCAGTGTATCCCCAGATTTGAAGGTGTTGGGTCAAAGAGAATGTTTTTACTTCTTTTGATCTGCTTACAAGGAGAGAGTAACTTGCATTCCTGTCTCAGCGACAGGGAAAGGAGAAACATGAAACACAGAGTGACCTGGATTTCCAGAAGTCAGCAGATACTAAAAATGGTCACCATCTCGAAGAAATGGATTCCTAGGTAACAAACAGGTTTGAATGTTAGGAAGTCCTCAGTTTAGGGAGCTGACGAACTGGAGGTTTACCATATTTAGTCAATGTCCTTGTTTCATTTCCAGTGTTTAAACATTGACAAAACATTCATATATATAGAGAGAGACTGTGGTGATTTCTGGTAGTACTGATTATATCCACCAAATTCTGAGGAAAATAGATATAATTGTTGCTTTGAGAATCCCATAATTGAAGGAAAGTAGTAGTTTAGCAGATGTTTGACCATGAAGTATCAAAGAATTCATATTTTTTGCATGTGTTTTAAAATGCACTCTTTTTTTCCTGATGGGTGACCCTGCCCTTTCATTTTAAAGAAATACTGACAAGTAGAACCATCCCCAGAATGCAGCCTGCCCAAAATGTCTCCTTGAAAAAGGAGCAGTCTCTGGTTTCTATGTACTGTTTGTTGCAGTGAAGCTGAAGTAATATAAATATGAAAATGATATATTGGCAGACTTTTTCCTAGTTTTTGTGTTCAAGTCATAGGTTTTTTTGTTTAACTATCAACAACATTTGGTCCAGTCTTGCTCTTACAGAAGGTGGTGGGTGTTTTGCCACTTAGATTGTATGAAAATAGTTCCAGCCTGTTATTTATGAAATGGGGATAATATGTGTCTTGAAGCTGCTGAAGGCATTTACTGTTGCTCTAGGCTCACAGTCTTTTTAAGCCTGAGATGCTGCTGAAAGAAGTGATCTGGCCCCAGTTCTGGCTGATATATTTTTCCCCAGTGTTGACCCTCCTTTTTTGTTTCTCAGTGGTGAAGTGGATTAGGGAATTCATCTGGATTAACAAGAGGCCAACAACAAAAAAAAAAATTAATGTGTATCAGAAGAATTACCCTGGAGTTGTGAGCATCGTGGATGACCACTGACCTACTGGGAGAGAAGGAGATCCTTCTGGAGGGACTTGGATTCCCCCTTTGATGAGGAGTTCAGTGCTGAAAACAGGGCTTGGAGGGAGTCGCATGTGTAAGAGCACAGTGCATGGCAAAGCCCCCCCTCTCTCTTTACTGAATCCCCCTTTTTCTTTGTGTGAGGAGCTATTGATTCACATCTTGAGACTGTGAGC